CTCATACCTCATACATCAAAGTCTGAAACGCTGCACGGCTCATCTCTGCTATTCTGGGTGATTTACTTAATGCGTTAAAAATAGTTTTGCATCTTGAAAGAAATCATGATCATGACCCAGATCTGAGTTCTTATGTGTGTGATAATTCATTCAGGTGTAATCGTTAAACCAACACTTGAGATGCTTCGTGAGTTTTAATAATTCCTTTTTTTCAAACCTGCAAAACACAGAGTGAACAGTAAAGTTTGAGACATAATGGACGCGAACAGAAATAAAGTGTAGTTTCTCTCAGGACTGATTTAAAAATAGCGAGCAGCAGGTTGGAAGATGAATTGTTTGGAGACTGAGAACAGACTTGGCTCCGGTGAAGTTTATCTAACTCCTGTTCTAACATGGACTCAACTGGACCAGGTCGGATTTTTATCTCGGTAGGTGTTGGACCGAAGGATAAGAAAAACACAAACGTGGGTTCAGACCTACAGCACAGTCACTCTCGAAAACATATTCTACCACACGCGTGCCCTCCGCAGCAGGTCCCAGGTTCGACTCCCGGCCGGTCGGATAATTTACCGGTGTCACTCTCCTCCGAGGTTTCACTGCCTCTATCAAATAAAGGCCAACTAACCATGTTGTGATAGAGCTTGTTTGGTTGCTAGGGTAACGTTAGGGAAACACAGGGGTGGGGATAAGTGTGCTTCTTCGTTAGGGTTAAGGGGCATCTGTCGTCACGGTTACGGTAACTGCCATATGATTACGGTCAGGGAAATTATTGCAGGTCATTGGTTCCACCCCAGGTCACGATTCCTCGACGACGAAACACTATAATATGAAATTCAAAAGTCTAAAAGATGGATCGTCACGGTAACATTAAACAGTGGCACAAAGGTCGCTGTGCCAGGTGCCTGGTTCAAAGGGCTTATAGTCGTACTGCTCGTAACTTAATAGTAATCGTAAGTGTTGTGGCCATAAGAGGCAATAAACCAATCAGAGTGGCAGCTCCCGCTCCCTTTAAAAGCCATGCGCTCCCACACCTTGCTATTAAAAGGGCGGATTTGCCAGGTAGCAAGAGAGAGAGCACTCCTCGGCAGAGAGCTTTCAGTTTGTGCACCAACAGACCATCTGTGTGTGTAAAGAAACAGAGCGCATGTTGTCTGATGTAGGTGCATTACTGTCCTGATAATGAGTCCTTACGGTAAAGCCGACGCCACTGACGTCAGACTGGGTTTTTGTTGGCAGTCGCTTTCCGCTGCCTGAAGATAACAATGTGCTAACTGTGCCTGACCGCACCTCAGGACCAACTGGCCCGTGGGTGCCTCAGATTGGCTCGAGTGAATTTTGCTATTCAAACAACGCGGCCGCTGGACGGAAGGAGATGACAACTGTGTCGGTCTGACGCCGCTCGCTTGGCGTCGCTTCACGTCAGGTGTCGGATTCGGCCGTTTGTCTTGTTCGAATCTCAGCAGCTGAGGGTCTGTAGAGATGTCTCCTCCTCTAAGGGAGTGTGTCACTCGATGTTTAATTACTTGTATAGGCTGGTTAGTTCTGGTGAAGTGTGTATGTCGTGAAAGAGACACAACAGTTATTAGTGTGTGTGTGTGTGAGTGTGTGTTAATTAGCTGGACGTTGTGAATATTCGGATGCAGCTCTGTTGCTGATGCTTGAGTCATGACCTCATTTGTGTTGACTCCAGGGTGGTCCAGTCATACACACACACACACACACACTCTCTCTCTCTCTGCACAGCCAGACTTCGTCACACTTTATTAAGATAGCGTGTCAACACACTCTGGCACAGCAAGCGTTTTGTTCTCGATCTTTTGACAAACTGAATTCAAGACATTGTATACACAAACTACCAAACTTTCCTCTCTCACACACAAACACACAAAATGCTTCAACAACGTAGTAATTCCAAGTTTCTCTTTTTATAGGGTGGATACACACCCAGGTGCAGAAATCTAAAATCCCCTCGGTCTGTCTCCTCTCTCTCTTACGCAGTCTTTCCATTTTACACGACCCACCCACTGGCTGTCGCAAGCAAACACACACACACACACACACACACACACAATGACAGGATCTCCCTCTGCAGGCTCCAAGCGTCTGATGAAAGTGTTGGGAATGTGTGCTGAGAGGCCACTGACACTTCCTGCCACTTTCTAGTGCTGATGACTCGCCTCAGGCATCCAAAGCCCCGGTGACGGCTCCCTGCAGACGTTTAATGGCCACAAACTGCAGATGACGAGCGAAGTCTATGAGCTTTCATCTGCGATGATTAGTGTCGCTTGAGGCCCCCTGGGATTTATCCTGCATTAGTGATGCCGCTGTCACTCAGCTGCTTTCCTCATTGCTCCTAATGGCCGAGTTACTGCTTTTCTGTGGATGTGTGTAGCGCTCAAAAACCTCAAAATTGCATGCAGGTTGAATGATGTGATTTCTAATGTAAGAAAAACACAACACAGACATCAGAGGGAAGAGGAAGAAGAGTTTTAATGAACATCATAGTCAGTAATATGTTTATTTGCATGCATCACAAATTTAAAAGTGTCTATCATCAGATCCTATCATGATACGGGAACACTTTAAAAGCACAATGTCACTGCTAAGGCCCAGCAGCCCCCTCAAATTCAATCCAGCTGCACTAAATTAAATGTCAGACTTATAGACATCAGTCCCTTGAAACATCAATTTTAAAGAAAGTGATCTGGATCTGCACAAAATGTTCTTCCCTGACCTACATCGCATCCTTCCATCAAGTTTTGTGGAAATCTGTTTGGTATCTTTCGCTTAATCCTGCTGGAAAACCACCAAACCAACGCATGTCATCTCCTCCGTAGGGGTCACTAGAACCAAAAGGGCACTTGGAGAGCACATACCTCTGCCAAGGTTAATGGGTTCTTTCTTCGGTCGTGACCCACTCCTCCACAAAGTTTCAAAGAAATTCGCTCTGAAATTCTTTCTGATCGTGCTGAAGGACAGACAGACAGATAAACAAACAAAAAGTATAACCTTACATACAGATAAAGTTAAGAGGAGCTGGAATATAACGACGCTAATAAAATGATGGACTGACACAGTAGTGAAAAAAATATTTTTTGACATGTCTCATAAAAATCAACGTGCAGAAATTGCGCAGACACATCTGGATTGTCTGAAGCAGCGCTAATTCAATACAGCTAATTGAATGTGCTGCTGCTGTTATAACATTTTACAGCCACTGCAAGCAAACATGGCCGCAGATGGAGTTCTTTATCGCTCCGTCTCAGGAAATTGGAGATTTAAACAGAGTCCAGAACATCATTTATTTAATTGATGAAGACTTCCTTCATACCGTCATTGGCCTAATACTCACTGGTTTTTGGCTGAGAAACATAAGAATGTGTTTCACTGCCAATATTATGAGCCACTAATATAGTAGATGTGCAGTATTGCTTTTGGCTTGGATTCAGAATTTAGAATTTCGAAGGAGCAGAATTATGTGTTATAGCTATAAAGCTTTAAACCTCATCTCCCACCAGTCCTTTGTTCTGCGTGAGAATTTCTGCAGAGGTGAAAGTTGTGATCGTCTTCCCTCGACGTTGCCAAATTTCATCCGAGAGTAAAAATGTCTCGTCTCTGGTTCGGTTGTGGCCCGAGCGGGGGGAGGGGGGGGGATTTCGGTTGTGTCACTGCAGAGCTAAAAGACGGTTTAAAGGATCTGAGCAGTCGTATTAGAAGGTAAATCAAAAGAGGAGGATTTCCACGAAAACACTGGCCTTTGACCCAGAACTTCTAATACCCCGTTCTTTCATTCCTCATCCCCCTCTTGTTTCTTCAGTTGCTTCCCCCCTGCCTCCTCTCTCTCTTTCTTTGTGTATGGATCACACACACACACACACTCACACACACATGCACGCACTCTAGCCCTGAGGACCTGTTTCCGGTCTGGGGTGAATGAGAGAGACTAGCAAGCATCTGTGTGGGACTGGAGCTTATTACACACAGTCTCGCATTTATCCTGTGAGCTTGTATGTGAGTCGACTCATGAGCATCGTGTTGCTGCTCAGTTTCCTCAAAGGCTTTTATTTTATTTTTTTTACACTTGCAAATCTTTTTCAGCTTCCTGTTACACAACACAATAATATAATATACAATACTATTTTTTTTAAATGTCGCAACATACTCAGGCTTGGTATCCACACTGTAATACACACCACTCCTGTGTAGCGTTGCTAAACTGTGACTTGGTTTTGTTTCAAACAGTGGTTTTGCTCTTATAAATCTACTGTCCCAACAATGGCTTTTTTCTTGTTTGTGAAATACGCAGAGCAACACACACACACACACACACACACACACACACACACACACACACACACAACTACTGATCAAATTGAGTCCAAAGGGATTTTTCCCATTTCAAAAACCATCTTACGTCCACATGTGTCCTGAAGCTGTGCTTTCTGCTGAACATTACGAAGGATGAATATATGCATTTTCCTGAAAAGGAGATTAACTCCATCATTGACTAAAGAACATGTGGTCGGAGAAGGGAACACAGAGGCTTTACTGTTTCTAGATGTTTGAGTTACCTCAATCCATGTAAGTACAGAGTTCAAGTGGTACTTTCAAATGGTACTTTGATTCCACGTTCTGTCAGAGACACAAACACACTGAGTAAAGATCATCTTTCTGGATATCAAATCTTAAGACAACACCAGAGCATCACGCTACGTTTGACCCTTCTCCCTGGGATAAAAGTTCATTTTTCACAGTAATACAATCAGATTTGAATTTCTGTTTTCTCCTTCGAACTTCTCGACTGAAATTCCTGGTCACTCTTTTAATTCCTTCTTTTTGATCTTGTTAACGTGACACACTTGAATCATACGACGTGGTTCACTTGAAGAAAACATAAATTGAAATCTAGCTTTCCAGCTCCTGTGAGAGCGTCATGAAAATGTATAAACTGAAAATGAAAACTCTTTTTTAATGTTTATATATTCTGCTTTCAGAAAGTATTACTGCCACCATGGATGAGGAACAGTGCTACTACAACGAGACCATCGCCTTCTTCTACAACCGCAGTGGCAAGAACCTCGCGAACGACTGGAACACGGTCAGCAGGCTGGTCATGGGCCTCGGCATCACCGTGTGCATCTTCATCATGCTCGCCAACCTTCTGGTGATGATTGCCATCTACGTCAACCGGAGATTCCACTTCCCCATCTACTACCTGATGGCCAACCTGGCAGCTGCTGACTTCTTCGCTGGACTGGCGTACTTCTACTTGATGTTCAACACGGGGCCGAACACGAGGCGGCTGACTGTTTCCACGTGGCTGCTGCGCCAGGGCCTGATTGACACCAGCCTGACGGCGTCCGTGGCCAACCTGCTCGCCATTGCCATCGAGCGCCACATCACCGTGTTCCGCATGCAGCTCCACACACGCATGAGCAACCGGCGTGTAGTCGTGGTGATTGTTATAATCTGGACCATGTCCATAGTCATGGGCGCCATCCCGAGTGTCGGCTGGAACTGTATCTGTAGTATAAGCACTTGCTCCAACATGGCGCCGCTGTACAGCAACTCCTACCTGATCTTCTGGGCAGTGTTTAACCTGGTGACCTTTGTTGTCATGGTGACGCTGTACGCCCACATCTTTGTGTATGTGCGGCAGAGGACCATGAGGATGTCACGGCACAGCTCGGGACCTCGACGCAACCGGGACACCATGATGTCGCTGCTGAAGAC